GGGGGTGTGGTTTTCATTCTGTTATATAAGCGAGCCTTAACTCAGAATAAACACAGTTTAACACCAGCATCAATTCAACACTGGACCAACGACACGGCACGATCTTGCCTCCCTCCCCTCCCCCCTCCCTCCCCACCCTTTTCGACTACTCACATAACACGGACTCCCTTGGCCCCTTATTATAGGCACGTCTTACCCACTTGCGCCACGTCACTCTATCACATGGACTTGAAAACGCAACAACGAATCGAATGGAGAAGTTGCCAGTGCTGCATCGATGGCGTGACAACGGAAGTCGACGACACAGAGCTACTCGAGTACGGGCAAAAACAGTGCGAGAACTGGTGGCAAACCTGTGTCAACGGATGATCCGGCCCAAGGACGGCCGGTGCTACGCCGAGACCGCGGGCGAACGATGACCGGAAAGCCTTGGAGCAGCTAACGTAGGAAGCAATGTCGCACATCGGCCGATAACTGGCATCGCTCTCCAGCTCGCGCTCAACGTGCAACGCATACAGCGACAGGGCCAGCCCGACCAACGATGCGATGGCACAGGCACATTCACTGTTACCTCGAATTCGCATCGTTCATATTGCGCTCCGATAAGCGTCCACCGAGCAACTGCACCGCATGCTGGAACATCAAAGCACACGTTATCACTGTAATGTATTGCGAAATATTTCCAGCAAGCAGGCGCGAAATCGTTAAGTTGTACATGGGCTGGGAACATCCCTTTAAAATTTCAGCCTTCCAGCTTTTCTGGTTCTCGACTTATAGACTGCTTTCTTGCGGTAGAAGGGATGATTGTAGTCCCTTTTATCATTATCACACATGACCAATCCAATCCTTCTTCCCAGACCGTGTACATTTTTGGACAATTTGCATTAGTAATACAGTGAAGTTGCGAGAGCGGTAACGTGGTCATGCTGCCTTGGCGCAGTATTTCCCTCATTTTGTGAATGCGGCGTAACAAAATGAAATGAAATGTACGGAGGCCAAAAGAATGTGCGCCTTACTGCCAGCGAGAAGGCCAAAACAAGCCACTTCCTGCAAAAAGTCTGCATTCAACAAAGATCGCGCCACCGAGTAACAGCATAGGCCTGATGCATCTGTATTTGGCCGTCATTGATTGTTTGCACATGTGATGACGGATAAACAAACATCGAGTCGTAAGGGAGTCGTCAGGGATTGATGGGGTTGGAATGTCAGGGGGATAGGGGGAGAGGGAGGTGGGGGATGATGGCGTGGGGTTCTCGGTGTTACCGCGGTGCATCTGGTCCAAGGTTTTTCTGGTGCGTCTCCGTTAAGGATGTGGATTTGAAATCCGGGCATATCCATCCGTTGTTTAGGATTTCCCAAATCGCCAGATTTCCCGTAGAATGCTGCGAAGAACATCTGTAGGATCAAGGGCGGAAGAGTAAGGCATTAGAGTGTGGTAATTTATAATATCTAGTGTAACTGATGGTGAAATTATGACAGCTAGTCTAATGAACTACAATGACAGAAAAAATTAACGGGTGAAATGTGAAATAGAAAAAAAGAGCCCTGAGTTGAAATGTTCTGATCCATTGGGTCAAATCAGCACAGCAACTGGACCTCGTCAGTACGATGGTTGTGGTAACTAACAAAAATATTAAATACTGTCGTTTGTGCTTGCGCTGCAGTAATACCAAGAGATCCTGTACCATTAACAGCTCAGGCCATCGAGATAACTCCTAGCAAATTCCGCATCCCGGGGAGTTAGGGAACATTGGGAATCCGTGAGATTGCTCTAAAAACCACTTAATTTGGGCATTTTCGACCGTAAAATCAG